AAGTTATGGAAGGAGTTTGTCGATTTAAAATAGGTGGTGCCCGCCACCCTACTGATATTTTAGAATGTGCTCTAGAGTAAAAAAAAAAGTTGGGAACCCCTGGTGTACAGTAAACTTAATAAATTATCCATCGAATCACAGGTCAGTTTTTACATTGTTTGAATGGGCATGTTTTGTCAGGTTGCCATGGTTACATGTAATCTAAGTTTGAGACCCACTGTCCGTCTGCAATGGACTGGAATGCAACTAATGTAGGCTCCATGTAGATTGAATGGGCAAACAAAGCCCTCTGTCATCTTGTTTTCACTGGTGAGCTGTGCATATCAGTCAACAGTGGCCAGGACCTTGTCACATTTGTATTCCTGCGCTGAGCGTGCCAGTTAGTTCACTCGTGATGTGCTGAACATTGTTTATTGTGTGGGACGAAAGTGATATATTTGTCACTAAGCAGAATAGTGAGTTGTATTTTTTCTTGGATTTTTCATCGGAAAACTCTACTTACATTGTTTATTGATATTCACTAAACATTCGTGGTTAATTTTTTTTAAAGCATTTTTTTTTGTTAACGCCCATATATGTCATTATCATTATCTTAATTTTGTTTTTAATCGAATAATAGTGTTGAAAATCTATTCTCGAAAAGTCAATCAATTTTACGTTTGGGTATGAATGGTGAATGCGAATACTACACTAAAATTGAGGGTGCAGTTTTTTATCTTACGCGGAATCATTCTACAAATCAAAGAATTCATCTTGTAATTCATCGTGAATGCTGGCAACATCGAGGAAAGAAGAGAATGGATAATGCGTCAATGCAGATTCTTCTGACGTTTGCATCTAGCTTCATACCAACGAAAGAACTCCATATCTTTTTTGGTGTGTTTCGAATGACTTGTCTTAAATGACGTTTTAGTTTTGAAGATTTCATAAACTCGTGACTGAGAAAAACTTTGTACAGTACGCTTTGCTTCTTCTCTATTCCCTTTCCAGTGATGTTAGTAAAGCCGAATTTAAAAAATTCTTCTAAATTTTTATGTTTTGTTTCAAATTACTAAGGTTTATTATACCAGTTGGCGACCCCCCAGAAAGCCCTTCGCGACACCCAGGGGGGTCGCGACCCCTAGGTTGGGAACCCGTGGATTATTGAATTTAACAAAAATCTAGCATTAAAAAAGAGATATTCAGTATCTAACAATGGTCAAGTAAAACATTTTACTTTCAGGATAGTATCTACAGACCAGTGCAGGCGCCAGGTTAATTAGCGCCCTAGGCAAAACTTATTTCACGCAAATTAATTACTAAAACATTTGTATAAGAAAACAATTAATTAAAAGCGACATATTAATTTATTATCAATTGCATACACGTCATAAGTAAACATCAAAATCAAATTTTACTTGCCTCCTTCGTCGCAAAAGTTTGTACTAATTACTTTTGTTCCAGTTTGCAAGCGTAATCACATTCTATTGAAATTGTTGCTAAGTCCACGAGTCTATTTTGTACTTTACAATATAACCAGCCCCTCCCTTCCCCCCACCCCCACTTTTAGAAAATTTCAAGTGCCCCCCCCCCCCCCCCTGCGCAGGAGAAAAAAGTCTGGAAAAAAAACTGTTCTTGTAGTATTGGGCTCTCTGCAGACCCCCCAAGTGAGTTCCACAACGGAACGTACCTGTTTTGAGCTTGACTGTCTTTAGTTATAATTGTGTGATTATGTAACGATTTTTTTTGTTTTTGAAAAATAAAAGGTTATAAATGTTATTGATTCCAGCCTATATATGAATCCTTTAGGAGAGGGTGAAAAATATGAAAAAAACATTTAATTGATTGCGACTAAGACGATTTTAGACGATACTGTATGTCTACTTACATTAAGTACTGCAATCTACAACGGCTACTGATGTATTTGTTTTTCGATTTGATAATGCTAAAAAAAAACTACCATGCTATTTTGTTTAGAACTTCTGCTCTATATAATTTTTACAATAGCAAATAGTAACTTAAAGTTGTATTTATAAGTAAGCGGTAAACCTAAGGTGTAGGAATTTGAAATGAACGTGAAGTTAAGCAACGAATTATCTCCCATTTGGAAATCCGAATAACAAAATTTTATTCAAGGGAAATAACTTTCACAAAATAAGCTAAATTAATTAAGTGTAACTAAGACATGCTTGAAAAACACAATAAATGCTTTAAATTTCATGACGCAATAATAATAACAAATCTTTTATATTTAGCTATGAAGCCGTGTCAAACAATATATTTTACTGATTGACTACTTAATTGTATGCGTTATTTAAAAGTCGAAACATGGTAGCTTTATTTTAACATACTTGTAGTCAATTTTGATGACATGCATTAGATATCATGGTCAGGATGTAGTATAAATACAAATTTTGGATCCCCTAAAAAGGGACGCCCTTCACAAATATCAAATACGAATAACTGATTGAGACAGGGGTCGGCAACCTGCGGCTCCTTTGGTGTCCAGCTGCGGCTCTTCAGCTCCATGCACAAATATTAACAACGAGCCAACCCGCGGCATATCATACCCCGCTGTTTAGTTGTTGTTTTTTCTACTTTTCAGTTATTCATAATTTGTGAATTCGACACTACCAACGCTGCCACTGAAAATATTTCTTTAGAGCACTATAAGTAGCTCGTTAAGGACGATAACCCCCCCCCCCCTCTCCTACCCCCTCCCTCCGTTAAAGTAAACTCCTCTTAGTTACCCCCCCCCCCCCCCTTACGTTTAAAATAGTTTCAAACTAAATTATCTGCCCCTAATAGTCGTCACTAAACCCGGCTCTGTTTGTAAACATTTAGAGTGAACCACAGCTCACCAGATCATGTAGGGGTGGGGGTGGTAGGGAGCGCGTTTACAGCTTGTTTTCTAGCGTCTCCCAGAAGAGAATTATATATATATATAGAAGATTATTTTATTTTATTTCCAAAACTCATAAAAATATTAGCCTGCAACACTCGGTAATAAACGATATAACAATAGATATAAACAATAAACATTCACTATTCTATTAGAATATGTAGTTACTCCCTAACTCAGTGTACTTCTTATTACATTGTCCATTCCAAATTGAAACATTCAACTTCATAATGGATATCACAAAGAAACTAAACCAGTTAAGTGTAAAACTGATACAGGAAAATCTAGCCTGTCTTGCTTGAAGAAGTGGTTTGTTTCGAAACAAAAATACTTTTTTGTTGAATACATAGTGAGCATTCTATAGCACCAACCTTGCAGACATTCCCCACACATATAGACATTCTTGCAGACATTCCCCACACATACAGACATTCTTGCAGACATTCCCCACACATACAGACATTCTATAACACCAAACCTTGCAGATATTCCCCACACATACAGACATTCTATAACACCAACCTTGCAGACATTCCCCACACATACAGACATTCTATAACACCAAACCTTGCAGACATTCCCCACACATACAGACATTCTATAACACCAAACCTTGCAGATATTCCCCACACATACAGACATTCTATAACACCAACCTTGCAGACATTCCCCACACATACAGACATTCTATAACACCAAACCTTGCAGACATTCCCCACACATACAGACATTCTATAACACCAAACCTTGCAGACATTCCCCACACATACAAACATTCTTGCAGACATTCCCCACACATACAGACATTCTTGCAGACATTCCCCACACATACAGACATTCTATAACACCAAACCTTGCAGACATTCCCCACACATACAGACATTCTATAACACCAAACCTTGCAGACATTACCCATACACACAGACATTCTATAACACCAACCTTGCAGACATTCCCCAAACATACAGACATTCTATAACACCAACCTTGCAGACATTCCCCACACATACAGACATTCTATAACACCAACCTTGCAGACATTCCCCACACATACAGACATTCTATAACACCAACCTTGCAGACATTCCCCACACATACAGACATTCTATAACACCAACCTTGCAGACATTCCCCAAACATACAGACATTCTATAACACCAACCTTGCAGACATTCCCCACACATACAGACATTCTATAACACCAACCTTGCAGACATTCCCCAAACATACAGACATTCTATAACACCAACCTTGCAGACATTCCCCACACATATAGACATTCTTGCAGACATTCACCACACATACAGACATTCTTGCAGACATTCCCCACACATACAGACATTCTATAACACCAACCTTGCAGACATTCCCCACACATATAGACATTCTTGCAGACATTCACCACACATACAGACATTCTTGCAGACATTCCCCACACATACAGACATTCTTGCAGACATTCCCCACACATACAGACATTCTATAACACCAACCTTGCAGACATTCCCCACACATACAGACATTCTATAACACCAACCTTGCAGACATTCCCCACACATACAGACATTCTATAACACCAACCTTGCAGACATTCCCCACACATACAGACATTCTATAACACCAACCTTGCAGACATTCCCCACACATACAGACATTCTATAACACCAACCTTGCAGACATTCCCCACACATACAGACATTCTATAACACCAACCTTGCAGACATTCCCCACACATACAGACATTCTATAACACCAACCTTGCAGACATTCCCCACACATACAGACATTCTATAACACCAAACCTTTGCAGACATTCCCCACACATACAGACATTCTATAACACCAAACCTTGCAGACATTCCCCACACATACAGACATTCTATAACACCAACCTTGCAGACATTCCCCACACATACACATATTCAAACCAGCCGATTCGGTTGATTGAGAAAGTATCGATCACATTTGTACTATTCAGCTGATCGCCGTCCTTGTGATTTTACGAGCGTGTCGAAAGTGCTTTAATGTCACATGTTTGTTTACTTGTATCTAAGTAATGCCAACTATGTATCATATAGCACGACAATGTTGTATCATATGAGGCAGGACACCCGTCTACCTTAGGCAGGACACCCGTCTATCATAGGCAGGACACCCGTCTATCGCGGGTATTGTGTGTTTTAAAGGCTGACAGATTTTATTGTGTTCTTCACATGGAGACTATTAATAGCAGGGTATGTTTTTTTTTTTTTACTGAGGTGCTGTCGGTAAACAAACATAAGTTTCCGTGTCATATTTCGTTTGGATGTTCCGTGGATTAATTCCAGCAAATTTTAATGGAATTTGTCTGTGGATTAGTTCTTGTTATCCGTATTTAATGTTCTTTGGATATGTTTTAGATAATCTTTACTGAATGTTCAGTGAATAGTTTTAGTTGATCCTTAATGTATATTCTGTGGATTCGTTTAAGTTAATCCTTATTGAATATATTGTGGAGTAGGACAGGTTAATCCTTATGTTCTGTGCTTTAGTTCTAGAACGGAATAGTTACATTAGAACGAAGGGGATACCTGAATACTGCACCCAGATTAGGATGGCGAATAGATCGACATCCGTGTTTGGTTATTTGCTCACTTCTTATGTTATTTAAACATTGTGTAAAACATTAATGAAAAATGAGCTGTTTAAAACAGATAATGTATACAGAATATGCCGTATGGGGTAGATTTAGCATAACACTGACGTCGTATAATACTTAGGTTTATGTCTTAAGTTTTATATTGTACATTACATAGTGCCACACAAGTGGTTATGCATTGTGTACCGGTACACATAAGCAAAACAGATGGTTTAGTTAAAGAGGACTAGAACAGATGGTTTAGTTAACTAGACTAGAACAGATGGTTTAGTTAACACGACAGTTAACGACTAGAACAGATGGGACATCTATACGTATCCGCTGTGCCTCAACAATGTATGCGTGACAACAATGTTTTGTGTTGTGTTAGCAGAAGGAGGGAGGGAGTTGCGAAAGGGATGGGGGGGGGGGAGGGATGTAAGATGAGATGTAATCTGAGGTAATCTGAGGCACACACAATGTCTAATCCAGGGCTTGCAATGGTGCTGCATTCCTTACATACATTCTGGGTATCTTAGGTCAATAGACATTCTTTTAAAAAATATAATTCTTATGTATAGGGTCCCATACAAGTATTATATCCGTGCACAAAAGTCGAATGACAGTTTTCGCCATTTTACTGACTTTATCGTAAACGGAATATAAAGGATGTATTGTATTCGTGTAAAAATTCTAAATCAAAATATGTCAAAATCTCAACATTTCACGCATTCCTGAGTCGGAAAAACTTGATTTTGCTATTGTGTCCGTGTTTGTCTCTCTGTCTGTCTGTAAACACGAAGATTTGAGTAACGTTTAGTTTATGTTGACAAAATTTCGTATATAAGTAAGCCTATTTCATCTAATTGGTAGTTTACGATAAATTTCTCATCTTTTTCTGGTAACCTGAAGTGGTAGTTGCTCTACTTTCGGTTTCTCACAAGCCATTATTACCGAGTACAAATAAACCATAAGAGCCTATTTAGGTTGATTTCTCTGCCTATCGCCCGTCATGGGATGAAAAATTTCGAATACTTTTACCAAACCGATTTTTTTTCAAAACTTTCATGTAGGTCAAGACTCGATGACAATACTTTGTGACATACAGTGTTTAAGTGAATGTTTAATCAGAGGCGTAGCGAGGAGGGGGCGGGGGGTGCGGTCCGCACCGGGTGACACCATTTAGGGGGGGGGGGGGTGGCACCAAGGCAAAAAATAGCAAAATATATAGAGAAAAATTTGAGGGGCGGGGGGGGGGGGGGGAATCGAAAATTTGAAAATTTGTCCCCGGGAAGGGTCGCTACGCCTCTGGGGGGGGGGGCGACACAAGTGCCGCACCGGGTGACCCCCCTACCTCGCTACGCCTCTGTGTTTAATTAAGTTTAAAAATCAATGTTTCCTTTATAGTGTACTAGTTTACCTCTCTATTATGCACACACCTTCATTTAGTACACACTTCTGTTTTCTATTTGTTCTATTCTATTTGAAAGTGTAAGTATTAAAATTAAAAAAAATTCATAAAAAACGTTTTAATAACAAGCTTTTATGTAATGATGCACTAAAAAGTAGAAAATAAATTATAGACTACTATTTAAATAACTATAAAGAAAAGCGTGGGTCACTTTAGTATCTATTGGATACCTTTACTAATGTTAAGGAAGACACCCACGCTTTTCTTTATAGTTATTTAAATAGTAGTCTATAATTTATTTTCTACTTTTTAGTGCATCATTACATAAAAGCTTGTTATTAAAACGTTTTTTATGAATTTTTTTTTCAGTACTTTACATGTTTTATTTACAATAGAGTTACATGACTAAAAACCATTGCGCGCCTACTGAACATCATGTTCAGTAGGCGCGCAATGGTTTTTGAACGCAGCCATTACGTGATGGCGCAGCTATTGAAGGTGATGACGCGTGTGGTGTGGTTGGCTAGACATGCCTACTAATTCGGTCCAAATTTTTATTAATTCATAAAAAATTAATTAGGCATCCGATTAAGTCAAATTTAGTTTCAGATTGCATTGTCTTCATGTCTTGACCCACGTGCCAACTGTGAATCGTATCGGTCAAGTAGAACTGTCCGAATTTTCACTCCTGCGTTTCCGTCTAGACAGACTGACGACAGACTAACGACAGACTGACGACAGACTGACGAGGAAGTGAGTTAAATAAAAGCTTGTAATAAACAAACTCATAAACGCTTTGGTCGCGGAAAAAAAGTAAAATTTCTCATGTGCGACCAAAATTCAATGCATTTAAAAGCTTGTTATTATAAAGGTTTTTATATTTGTTACTATTTTCCACTTTTATTTAGTTAATAGTTCTAAATGAAGTTGACACTACTTTTATATAAGCTTTGAATAAAAAATATAAAAAAGACAGTTGTCTGCCCCTTCAAAGTGGTCGATACACGGGTGACAAACTGTGACCAAACATTCAGCGTAAATCACAGCGTCTAGCTAGTTATCTCCCCTTCTGCTATTGAATATATTGAATATAGTAATCTATCGAGTGATTTAATTTTATTATCCTCTATTAGCTTCGAAACAGTTTAACTAATTTTAATGACTAATTAAACATCTAATTAAATTTAAAAAATGATAGACTTGCATTGTCATCAAAGTGGAATGTATCTGAAAATTTTCAACGAAATCGCTGCATTAGAAGTGGGTCAAAATTGAAAAACATTTTACTTGCCGCATTATTTGTGTTCAATTTATGTTTGTTACTAAATTTAGTAGGCCTAGCACTAGCCTTTGTATGGAACGTAATTGACTATTTAAAGTACATGTAAATTACTACTAATGGCAACTCAAAGGAAACGTGTCATACAGTATTGTATTAATTATATTATTAATTTAAATTAAAGAACAGTATTTTAATATTATTCTATAAACTACATTTGGTCCAACCAACTATGATCAAATCCTCTATGGCTAAAACACCTGTTGTCAAATGACATGAAACGGATTTCTGGTTTAGTGAGCATATTCTCTGTACATCATGCAGTTTTATTTTGTCGAACCTGGTAGGTCGCATTACATCGGCTTCTGGCCAATTTTTCATTAGCTTTCATGGGGTTTACTCAATAGTAAAAATTATTAACGATGAATAACAAACCTCTGATATATTGAATGTTAGCTAAGTCGTCTTTGTCAGTTATAAGACCGATAAAAATATATTCCGTAAGATCGAATGTGGGGGTGGGGGCACAAAATTGACGAAATTAGTTCTTCTGTTTGACCCACCAACAAATACATCATTGAAAGAAGTTTTTTGCCGATATCTCAGTCACATGACTGTATCTGAACATCCACTTTTAGAGCTTAGCTAGCTGTACTTTAATAGTTCGATCCGTCAGATCAATATTTTAGTCAAATGCCGATCGAAGGGCGCCTTGTTTTGTTTCCTATAATCTATCGTTACCAATTTAATGTGTTCAAAGATAATGTGTTATCGACCCCTTGATCAATGAATACATCGACACGTTTTATCGTTAGACTTTTATTTGTTGTGAAACTATGGAATTAAGCTGGTCGATTGGGTAGTGGCGACCGTTCATTGCTGATGTTCGCTTCACTGACACAGGAGTTGTGGCACTTGTCATGACCAGTGCTGGCGGCTTATCTCCCCTTTCTTTATAGGTGTACCGTATGCCTTGACATGCGCACAAGTGTATTGTTTTCTACACAGTTAGCAGGCTTTATTGTTTATTCAGAAATTCAAAAGAGTGGTGCATCAGAGATGGGCAAAGTTCTACAGGCTTAACAATAACAATATAACACTTTAAAACAAACAATGCCCCGGCGCTAGAGGAGACAATAAACAATGACACGGCTATTTTTAGCAGCATTACACATTAAATGCAAACATCGAACAGCTTATATAAGAAATTCCCGATTCTAGTCGTTAGAAACTACAGAATTTATGCTAGTGGTGATTGTGCGCGTGTGTGTGTGTGTGTGTAGGCCAGTGGTATGCATTAGTAAATATAAACCATTCATTTTCTCGAAGAAATAATCATTGAAAAGATATGCACCATTTTGATTTTCTAATCTAATTTAATGTGCCCTGCCCATAAGTTAGCTAGTTCTTGACATGACGTCTTACTCCCGTGTGACGCGTTAGTTTTGTATGACGTCTTACTTGCGTGACGTGTTAGTCCATTATGACGTATTAGTCGTGCATGTCTGAGTTGTATTACAGTCGAATCTGGTGTTTAACTGACATCAAGGTGTAACTTTATTTCTCATCTAACATCAAGGTGTCACTTTATTTCTCACCTGACATCAAGGTGTCACTTTATTTATCACCTGACATCAAGGTGTGACTGTATTTCTCACCTGACATCACGGTGTCACTTTATTTATCACCTGACATCAAGGTGTGACTGTATTTCTCACCTGACATCACGGTGTCACTTTATTTATCACCTGACATCAAGGTGTCACTTTATTTCTCACCTGACATCAAGGTGTCACTTTATTTATCACCTGACATCAAGGTGTGACTGTATTTCTCACCTGACATCACGGTGTCACTTTATTTCTCACCTGACATCAAGGTGTCACTTTATTTCTCACCTGACATCCAGGTGTCACTTTATTTCTCAACTGACACCTGACTTTATTTCTGTTCACTATTCGATAAAAATCCCACAACCGACATTTCTGGTTGAAATGTCCCCAGCTATCAACACCAGAGACACTCCGGCCTATATGCCGACCTACATGCCGACCTACATGCACACTTACAAAAGCTGTCTCGCCTTGTTTGATAGATGTAAAGTTTTTATTGGATGGCGGCATACATCACAGGGGGATTGACTTGTAAGAAGGGCGCAGACTTTTGAAGTCACCTGCATGTTTGGGACACCCCTCCCACACACATTACATACACCTCCCACACCCCTCCCACACACATTACACACACTTATTTTAATTTTGAAAGGCAGAAATGAATCAACAATTAAAATACATTATATTTTTTGTTTTCTGTACTTCTTGTAAAAATGTAGACCTAGTTAAATACCCAGAAAGTTAAGAATGATAACTATGTCATGATATGTGTGCCATGGTGTTGTGCCAGTGAATACTAAACTATGCAGGTCTACCATACATAATTTTACATTGTGTTTATTTTAATAATTCTATTAAAGTAACAGTTTGGATTACGTAATTAGATGTACATTATTAGATAGGGATCGGGTGACGTTATCAAAATAAACAAAAACAGCAACAGCATGCTATAAATAGAACTAACGGTATTCCGTACAACCTAGGCAGAACATTACTAGAAAACAGCTCAAATATTTCCCCTGCCGGGTCTGAAAAAATTGATGTGTCGTGTTTTCCCTTTTTTTTACTCGTACGCGTGAGTCGGCATCGGGGTTTCCCTCCCCTTGCAGTGTGTTGTTTACGTGTTGTGTTCGGAGATACAACTCATGTCCCAGTGGCGTGTTCTTATCGGGGTTTCGTGTGTCTATTTATAGAACCCCACACTGCTAGAGCAGTATTTAACCCATGTGATGATAATGAGGTGCTAGTTTAATTAAAGTGCATTTCTAAAGGATGCATGGCAGGTACTTGTCTACACGCTTTCTGTTTACCTTATACTCTAGCCTGGGAAATTTGATCGAGTGTTTGAGCTAAGTTTTTGTGTGTCTATTTCAGGTATGTCAAGTTAACTTAGACAGATGCAAGGGTTTTTGTCTACATCACACGCTGTTATTTTAATGATTGCAAGAAATTGCTGGCGATAAAGTGAATTAGTTGAATTGTTGCACTCATCAAACAAGGGAAGTAAACGATTAAATACTTCACTTTGGGTCCGGTACAAGGGAAGTAACAAATTATATGAACAGGAACAGCGGCAGATAATCTGCCACAATGGGCTGCGCATCGAGTGTCATCCCATGTAAAGGCTGTAAAGGACGAGTCCAACCGGAGGGGTCAAAGGATCAAGTTCACGGTGTAGGTCGGCGGGTTCAGCCCAATTACAGGCGGGATCTGCCATCAAATATCATATTAGGTACGTCCTGTTGTTTAAACTGTAGAGCCTTAACATTTTAAGTTACTAGAACACAATAGGCTATTTTATTTGACATTTTAATATTCAAGTTAACGTTAATATAGGATAAGTATATACATAAGTATCCAAATAATAACCTATCCTATTAAAAAGACCTATAGTCGCAAGCTGAAAATACTATGAAATAGAATCTAACACATAATGCTTTAGAGTAGTAGAGTAGATAGAATATATTACATTTCAAATAATCCCTTGATGGAACTTTGATATACTGATGGTGTAGTTTAAATACAATGATCTTGTTTATATCTCTTGTGGTCATATAGGCCTACACAATAAACAAAATACAACATATGACTCATCGAACACAGTCGATGATGTTGTTGGCTGGAAGAGGGGGATGGTGGCTTTTATGTTGTCGCAAAATGCATGCGTACACACACACACTAATATATATATATATATATATATATATATATATATATATATATATATATATATATATTAATGTGTGTTAATTTAGATACAAGGATGTGCATTCGTTTTCGAACATTGACTTTAATAACAGAGAATTACATGACTTAATGATAAAGGGGAAGGGAGACTACCCTATTTAATTTGTGTTTACAAATTGTACATCTGCTTACTTCCCTTATTTCATCCACTAGATCCGGACATCAAAACTGTACAAGCTGTTGTGGAGGTTGATCTAAAAATTCCATTGAACGCTAAAGCCCACCACACTCAGGCATACGATGTCTGCAAGCACAAAATCACCCCGAAACTGGTGGTCAGACGAGGTCAGGAGTTCATGATTGACATTCAGCTATCACGTGATTATGACGAGAATAGCGACATCTTACGTTTTGTGTTTGAAGCGGGTAAGTTGTCTACACGGCTATACAAGACATTACCACTAGACGTGTACACAAGACACAACTACTGCACGTGTACACACGTGTACACAAATACTGGACGTGTAGGTCTAGTCACTACTCAGTACACACTCCACGACTATACAACACATCTACCGTACATGTACACAGTGGCGTAGCGAGGTCGGGTGTCACCCGGTGCGGCACTTAATGGTGTAGCGACCCTTCCCGGGGACAAACTTTCAAACTTTCGATTTCCACCCCCCCCCACACGTTTTCGATTTGCACCCCTCCCCTCAAACTTTTGATTTGTACCCCCCCCCCCCCTCAAGTTTATCTCTATTTATTTTGCTATTTTTTGCCTTGGTGTCACCCCCTTAAATGATGTCACCCGGTGTGGTCCGCACCTCCCACCCCCCTCCCCCCTCGCTACGCCTCTGCATGTACACACTACACAGTAGAACACACAAGTCATCTAGAAGACCATGTGTACATATAGTTTAAAACTTTGTACCTCAGGTGAGAAGCCTCTGGAAAGTAAAGGAACACACGTCGAGTTTCTTTTATCATCAGACGACAAATCCAGTAAATGGGAAGCTACTCTTGTTTCAAAACAGGTTAGTCTGCCATTTTTATTCGGCACAAAAGTTTTAATAAGTAGCCTATTGCTACGTCAGTGGCGTAGCGAGGGGGTGGGGGGCGGGGGGGGGGGGGTGGGGCGGACTGCACCGTGTGACACCATTTAGGGGGTGACTCCATTTAGGGGGGTGACACCAAGGCAAAAAATAGCAAAATATATAGAGAAAAATGATAATTCCACTTAATTAAGTCATTAATTCGAGTGTTAAATAGTCTTTTAAGAGCAAATTTGATAAATCCCGTCCAGGGTGCAGGGGTGGGGGGTGCAAATCGAAAGTTTGAAAGTTTGTCCCCGGGAAGGGTCGCTACGCCTCTGGAGGGTGACACCATTAAGTGCCTCACCGTGTGACACCCAACCTCGCTACGCCACTGTGCTAACGTTGCTACCTGTTGGCCTCTTTATTCTGTTCAAACGTTTCAATACACATTTTAATAATAAGAAAAAACGAATAATAAAGTATGGATATAATATATAGGCCCTATGTCATTTATTAATTATATTTAACATTAACTTTTAGCAAAACATAAACCTAATCATCATAATTCATCATATCATGTGGTAAGTTTTTAAGTGCAGCAATTAATTACTGTTTTTCTTAGCTGCATACTGATTTTGAATTTAATTAAACACAATCGACTAATTTACTAAAAAATGTGTTGCTGTAGGAAAAGTCCATCACTGTAAATGTGACCACACCGCCATCTTGCCTTGTGGGTAAGTGGAGGCTACATCTTGACGTCATTAAAAGTGAAGAGCATAAAGTCAACATTTACAGATACCAGTACAAACAACCCATCTACGTCATATTTAATCCATGGTGCAAAGGTAAGCAACTCATTGGTAATTTTCTGTTATTTAGTTAACTAATTTTTTATTGTTTTCTTTACTGGTGTTTTCTAAATTTTAAAAATCTTAAAATTATAAAAAATATTAAAAGTTATAATAATATAGGCCGATTCTAGTCGGAATAAGATACGCATGCGATACGCATGCGCAATGGAGAGAAACTACGACTTAGCGGCGATGTTTTCGATGGTACTGCGCATGCGTGTGTTTACAACCGCAGAACCCTAATACCAACCCTAATCCTATCCTTAACCCTATCCCTAATCCTATCCCTAACCCTAACCCTAACCCTAGCCCTAATCCTATCCCTAACCCTAGCCCTAATCCTATCCCTAACCCTATCCCTAATCCTACCCCTAACCCTCATTCTAGCCCTAACCCTAGCCATAGGTCACTGCGCATGCGCAGAACTATCTTTTGCCGAAAAATCTTATTCCGAGTAGACACTTCGAATAATATATTCGTTAACTTATTTAAATTTGAAATCTATATATTGGCAGAATAAAAATTTCTATTTTGTTTAAACCTTCTGCCTGAATTTTCTTTAATCTGTTAATGTAACAATAATTTACCCAATTTACTTGAATAAATAATGGTACAGTTTACATACATTTGAGTTGCAAGGTTTCACATAATAATTATTTTTTCAGACGACCTAGTCTATATGAATGACCAAAATCTGTTGAAAGAATATATACTGAATGAGAATGGACAGATTTATTCTGGCAATAAAACTACAATAACATCAAAACCATGGAACTTTGCTCAGGTTAGATAACTCTACATACAGGTTAGGTAACTCTATGTGCAGGTTAGATAACTCTGTGTGTAGCATAGATAACTTTGTTCTAGACCAACTGTTATATTTATAGAAACAACTTGTCTGTTTAAGTGTAATCATGATTATAACTAACATTGTTCCCACCATGATTTCTTTTTGTAAAATATGGAAAAGGAAGTTTATTCCGCAAAATGCATCAATCCCTTGATAAGAGTGTGCTTTAGGGACCAAAATCACCATCTTTAATGCTTGTAATTCTCACTCATTGACTCTCTCCCCCCCCCCACTAGTTTGAATCCTGTGTCCTGGATGTGGCCATGTATCTACTCGACAAGTCTGGTCTCAACTGGGCGGTCAGGGGAAACCCCATCCCTGTGGTCAGGAAACTCTCAGCTTTGGTAAACAAATCTTCTTCATGCAATAGGGCAACTTCAGATAAAACAACTTTTAAAAGTTTACTTGCATTTTAAACAAATCTTCTTCATACAATAGGGCAACTTCAGATAAAACAACTTTTAAAAGTTTACTTGCATTTTAAACAAATCTTCTTCGTAGAATAGAGCAACTTAAGATAAATCAACTTTCAAAAGTTTACTAGCATTTTTAAACAAATCTTTTTCATGGAATAGAGCAACCTCAGATAAAAACTTTTAAAAGTTTACTAGCATTTTGTAGTAAACATATAAATGTTATAGAATACCTTACATTTTGAAATTTTAATACACAAGGAAATTTTTTAATATGCAATTCTTTTGTAAAAATGATAAAATCTTTTGGGTGTAGTTTTGAACTGATTTTGAAATGTTGTGACCTGCACATTTCTAGATAAATTCTTCTGATGATGACGGTGTATTGATGGGCAACTGGTCAGGCGACTACACAGGGGGTAGATCACCTCTCTCATGGACAGGGTCGGCTGCTATACTAGAGGAGTATTGGAAAACTAAAGAGTCTGTTAAATATGGACAATGTTGGGTCTTCTCTGGCCTGGCTACAACAAGTGGGTATTCAGATAATGGCAGATAACCCATTGATAGATAGAGGCAGATAATATATTTAGCAGATGTTAATGCTGATAAACTATAGTTAAATACAGACAAAAAAAGTTAAATTTTGTTGATAAAGGCAGATAACCCATTGTTAGATATAAGTAGATGATCTATTGTCAGATGTAGGTAGATAATCCATTGTAAGATTAAGGCTGATAATCCAAGCAGAAACTTTTCTGGTAGATGTAGTCAGATACTCACTAGTGTAAGTATCTGAATGTCCCACAATATTTTTAGCTAAAGACAAGTTTTCTCTAAAGTCTGCAGAACTCTGGGTATCCCTGCTAGAAGTGTGACCAACTTCGCGTCTGCTCATGACACTGACGGCTCAATTACAATAGACGTCCACTTTAATGCTGACGGCACCAGTGACAAGGCAGCTGATGATGACTCTATCTGGTAGTAGAAGTGTTTTCATTGGCTGTAGCATGTTATTTTCTGATAGTAGAAGTGTTTTCATTGGCTCTAACAATTTATTATCTGATAGTAGAAAAGTTGTCATTGGCTCTAACATTTTATTATCTGGTATTAGAAGTGTTTTCATTGGCTGTCCCAGCTTATATTCTGGTAACAGAAATGTAGAAATAGAATTGTATATCAATCTAAAAAATGTGATGTCTATAACTATCTTTTCTAAAGTTGTTGAGACAATTAGAAAATTCAACAAAAAATAAAAAATAAAAGAAATTTGCTGAATTTTCTTTTTAAAATCTAAAATCAAGATGATAAATAAAAAAAAAAATTGATTTTAATTACAGAAATGTGGTTATCAGAAATTTGTTTCATGAACTTAAAAGTTACAATGTATAAATAATGTAATAATGTTTATAAATATATTATCTGGCCTATAATAACAACACTTTATAAAATAAATTAAAAAACAAGAATTAAGATTAGTCCATTTGTTCCAGGAACTTCCATGTGTGGAATGAAGCCTGGATGGCAAGACCTGATCTGCCTTCTGGATATGGGGGGTGGCAGGCTTTTGATGCCACACCACAGGAGGCTTCTGATGGTAAGATTTTTTTTAAAATTTCATTCCACACCACAATTGTAATGCACATTTTTTTAAATTAAATGCTACATTACAGGAGGCTGATGATGGTAGCACAGATGCTTTCTGTTGTGGTCCAGTAACCTTTGACCCTAATGTATCCTACAGATGTGTACTGTAACCTTTGACCCTAATGTATCCTACTGATGTGTACTGTAACCTTTGACCCTAATGTATCCTACAAATGTATACTGTAACCTTTGACCCTAATGTATCCTACAGATGTGTACTGCTGTGGTCCCATTAACCTTTGACCCTACTGTATCCTACAGATATGTCCAGTAACCTTTGACCCTACTGTATCCCACAGATGTGTACTGTAACCTTTGACCCTACTGTATCCTACAGATGTGTACTGTAACCTTTGACCCTACTATATCCTACAGATGTGTACTGCTGTGGTCCCATTAACCTTTGACCCTACTGTATCCTACAGATATGTCCAGTAACCTTTGACCCTACTGTATCCCACAGATGTGTACTGTAACCTTTGACCCTACTGTATCCTACAGATGTGTACTGCAACCTTTGACCCTAATGTATCCTACAGATGTGTACTGCTGTGGTTCCAGTAACCTTTGACCCTACTGTATCCTACAGATGTGTACTGCTGTGGTCCCACCTCTGTTGCCGCCATCAAGCAAGGGGAGGTAAACCTGCCATATGACGGGCCTTTTGTTTTTGCTGAAGTCAATGCAGACCGCATGTACTGGGCCCCCAACAGCTTGGGCAAGCTGGAGTGTGTCTACCTCGACAAGAAAGCGTGAGTCTCCAGAATTTTTAAAAATTTAATTTAAAAATTTAATTTAATCTAAATAATCTTCTTTGTCATTGTAAGCAGTAGTTATGTAATTTGGATTTTAAAACTGTTTCTGTAGGATTGGCAAAAACATCAGCACTAAAGCTCCTAATTCAGATGAAAGAGAGGATATCACATTAGAATATAAACAAGAGGAGGGTAAAAAAATATTTAACATTTTAGTTTGTTTACTGTTTGCTTGTTAATATTTCATTGTCTTAATAAATTTGTGTCAGTGCATTATATGGGATATACCGTTTACCTTGATTTACAATGGATTTGTCTTAAGTTAAAAAATTCACGTATTTACCTGTAGGTTCAGCTGCAGAGAGAGCCGCAGTTCTACGAGCCAATCAAGTTGGCTCCAACAGGAAGGATATCTACGTGCAGAAAGCCAATGTAAGAAACTTACATTTACTTACATCTATATTTCACATCTATTTTCATCTACTTTTACCTGCTCACATCTACTTTCATTGACTAATATAAATGAAAAACTCACAAAATTAGAATTATGGAGACAGATGTAGGTATATAAGGTGACAGATTGATAAAATATTTCAAGAGTTAAAATACAATACTTATTATCTCAAGTTAACAAACTATTGCAAAGTGTATCCATGCAATTCTTTTTCAGTTTACTGCTATTATATCATATATTAACTTTTATTAAATAACATTGTCTTAAAAATAAAAATGTAACTAAGCAATAAATTATATAAAAACCTTACATTTTCTTACAAAAATGAGGCAGCAAAACAACTTAATAATTAAACAGAACACATTGTAAAATTTTAATTATTTATATTATTTTATACGGAACAAACTACACATACTAGCTTTTGATCTATGTATGTGTGTCCACTGCAGTGGTTTTTGCTTGCTTCCATGGGACATTGATTTCAATGTGGAGCCACTCATCTTTGTAATGTGGGTGACTGCTGATGTTTGAGACCTATCTTGTTTTATATCATGCTGTTTGTGTTTGTACCATCAGGACATTGATTTCAATGTGGAGCAGGACCAGGAGAACACACATATTGGGGGAAAGTTTGAGCTGAGTTTGTCTTGTTTTATATCATCTTGTTTGTGTTTGTACCATCAGGACATTGATTTCAATGTGGAGCAGGACCAGGAGAACACACACATTGGGGGAAAGTTTGAGCTGAGTTTGTCTTGTTTTATATCATCTTGTTTGTGTTTGTACCATCAGGACATTGATTTCAATGTGGAGCAGGACCAGGAGAACACACATATTGGGGGAAAGTTTGAGCTGAGTTTGTCTTGTTTATATCATCTTGTTTGTGTTTGTACCATCAGGACATTGATATCACTGTGGAGCAAGACCAGGAGAACACACATATTGGGGGAAAGTTTGAGCTGAGTTTGTCTTGTTTTATATCATGCTGTTTGTGTTTGTACCATCAGGACATTGATTTCAATGTGGAGCAGGACCAGGAGAACACACATATTGGGGGAAAGTTTGAGCTGAGTTTGTCTTGTTTTATATCATCTTGTTTGTGTTTGTACCATCAGGACATAGATTTCAATGTGGAGCAGGACCAGGAGAACACACATATTGGGGGAAAGTTTGAGCTGAGTTTGTCTTGTTTTATATCATCTTGTTTGTGTTTGTACCATCAGGACATAGATTTCAATGTGGAGCAGGACCAGGAGAACACACATATTGGGGGAAAGTTTGAGCTGAGTTTGTCTTGTTTTATATCATGCTGTTTGTGTTTGTACCATCAGGACATTGATTTCAATGTGGAGCAGGACCAGGAGAACACACATATTGGGGGAAAGTTTGAGCTGAGTTTGTCTTGTTTTATATCATCTTGTTTGTGTTTGTACCATCAGGACATTGATTTCAATGTGGAGCAGGACCAGGAGAACACACATATTGGGGGAAAGTTTGAGCTGAGTTTGTCTTGTTTTATATCATGCTGTTTGTGTTTGTACCATCAGGACATTGATTTCAATGTGGAGCAGGACCAGGAGAACACACATATTGGGGGAAAGTTTGAGCTGAGTTTGTCTTGTTTTATATCATGCTGTTTGTGTTTGTACCATCAGGACATTGATTTCAATGTGGAGCAGGACCAGGAGAACACACATATTGGGGGAAAGTTTGAGCTGAGTTTGTCTTGTTTTATATCATCTTGTTTGTGTTTGTACCATCAGGACATTGATTTCAATGTGGAGCAGGACCAGGAGAACACACATATTGGGGGAAAGTTTGAGCTGAGTTTGTCTTGTTTTATATCATCTTGTTTGTGTTTGTACCATCAGGACATTGATTTCAATGTGGAGCAGGACCAGGAGAACACACATATTGGGGGAAAGTTTGAGCTGAGTTTGTCTTGTTTTATATCATGCTGTTTGTGTTTGTACCATCAGGACATTGATTTCAATGTGGAGCAGGACCAGGAGAACACACATATTGGGGGAAAGTTTGAGCTGAGTTTGTCTTGTTTTATATCATCTTGTTTGTGTTTGTACCATCAGGACATTGATTTCAATGTGGAGCAGGACCAGGAGAACACACATATTGGGGGAAAGTTTGAGCTGAGTTTGTCTTGTTTTATATCATGCTGTTTGTGTTTGTACCATCAGGACATTGATTTCAATGTGGAGCAGGACCAGGAGAACACACATATTGGGGGAAAGTTTGAGCTGAGTTTGTCTTGTTTTATATCATGCTGTTTGTGTTTGTACCATCAGGACATTGATTTCAATGTGGAGCAGGACCAGGAGAACACACATATTGGGGGAAAGTTTGAGCTGAGTTTGTCTTGTTTTATATCATCTTGTTTGTGTTTGTACCATCAGGACATTGATTTCAATGTGGAGCAGGACCAGGAGAACACACATATTGGGGGAAAGTTTGTGCTGAGTTTGTCTTGTTTTATATCATGCTGTTTGTGTTTGTACCATCAGGACATTGATTTCAATGTGGAGCAGGACCAGGAGAACACACATATTGGGGGAAAGTTTGAGCTGAGTTTGTCTTGTTTTATATCATCTTGTTTGTGTTTGTACCATCAGGACATTGATTTCAATGTGGAGCAGGACCAGGAGAACACACACATTGGGGGAAAGTTTGAGCTGAGTTTGTCTTGTTTTATATCATCTTGTTTGTGTTTGTACCATCAGGACATTGATTTCAATGTGGAGCAGGACCAGGAGAACACACATATTGGGGGAAAGTTTGAGCTGAGTTTGTCTTGTTTTATATCATCTTGTTTGTGTTTGTACCATCAGGACATTGATTTCAATGTGGAGCGAGACCAGGAGAACACACATATTGGGGGAAAGTTTGAGCTGAGTTTGTCTTGTTTTATATCATGCTGTTTGTGTTTGTACCATCAGGACATTGATTTCAATGTGGAGCAGGACCAGGAGAACACACATATTGGGGGAAAGTTTGAGCTGAGTTTGTCTTGTTTTATATCATCTTGTTTGTGTTTGTACCATCAGGACATAGATTTCAATGTGGAGCAGGAACAGGAGAACACACATATTGGGGGAAAGTTTGAGCTGAGTTTGTCTTGTTTTATATCATCTTGTTTGTGTTTGTACCATCAGGACATAGATTTCAATGTGGAGCAGGACCAGGAGAACACACATATTGGGGGAAAGTTTGAGCTGAGTTTGTCTTGTTTTATATCATCTTGTTTGTGTTTGTACCATCAGGACATTGATTTCAATGTGGAGCAGGACCAGGAGAACACACACATTGGGGGAAAGTTTGAGCTGAGTTTGTCTTGTTTTATATCATCTTGTTTGTGTTTGTACCATCAGGACATTGATTTCAATGTGGAGCAGGACCAGGAGAACACACATATTGGGGGAAAGTTTGAGCTGAGTTTGTCTTGTTTTATATCATCTTGTTTGTGTTTGTACCATCAGGACATTGATTTCAATGTGGAGCAAGACCAGGAGAACACACATATTGGGGGAAAGTTTGAGCTGAGTTTCTCTTGTTTTATATCATGCTGTTTGTGTTTGTACCATCAGGACATTGATTTCAATGTGGAGCAGGACCAGGAGAACACACATATTGGGGGAAAGTTTGAGCTGAGTTTGTCTTGTTTTATATCATGCTGTTTGTGTTTGTACCATCAGGACATTGATTTCAATGTGGAGCAGGACCAGGAGAACACACATATTGGGGGAAAGTTTGAGCTGAGTTTGTCTTGTTTTATATCATCTTGTTTGTGTTTGTACCATCAGGACATTGATTTCAATGTGGAGCAGGACCAGGAGAACACACATATTGGGGGAAAGTTTGAGCTGAGTTTGTCTTGTTTTATATCATGCTGTTTGTGTTTGTACCATCAGGACATTGATTTCAATGTGGAGCAGGACCAGGAGAACACACATATTGGGGGAAAGTTTGAGCTGAGTTTGTCTTGTTTTATATCATCTTGTTTGTGTTTGTACCATCAGGACATTGATTTCAATGTGGAGCAGGACCAGGAGAACACACACATTGGGGGAAAGTTTGAGCTGAGTTTGTCTTGTTTTATATCATCTTGTTTGTGTTTGTACCATCAGGACATTGATTTCAATGTGGAGCAGGACCAGGAGAACACACATATTGGGGGAAAGTTTGAGCTGAGTTTGTCTTGTTTTATATCATCTTGTTTGTGTTTGTACCATCAGGACATTGATTTCAATGTGGAGCGAGACCAGGAGAACACACATATTGGGGGAAAGTTTGAGCTGAGTTTGTCTTGTTTTATATCATGCTGTTTGTGTTTGTACCATCAGGACATTGATTTCAATGTGGAGCAGGACCAGGAGAACACACATATTGGGGGAAAGTTTGAGCTGAGTTTGTCTTGTTTTATATCATCTTGTTTGTGTTTGTACCATCAGGACATAGATTTCAATGTGGAGCAGGACCAGGAGAACACACATATTGGGGGAAAGTTTGAGCTGAGTTTGTCTTGTTTTATATCATCTTGTTTGTGTTTGTACCATCAGGACATAGATTTCAATGTGGAGCAGGACCAGGAGAACACACATATTGGGGGAAAGTTTGAGCTGAGTTTGTCTTGTTTTATATCATCTTGTTTGTGTTTGTACCATCAGGACATTGATTTCAATGTGGAGCAGGACCAGGAGAACACACACATTGGGGGAAAGTTTGAGCTGAGTTTGTCTTGTTTTATATCATCTTGTTTGTGTTTGTACCATCAGGACATTGATTTCAATGTGGAGCAGGACCAGGAGAACACACATATTGGGGGAAAGTTTGAGCTGAGTTTGTCTTGTTTTATATCATCTTGTTTGTGTTTGTACCATCAGGACATTGATTTCAATGTGGAGCAAGACCAGGAGAACACACATATTGGGGGAAAGTTTGAGCTGAGTTTGTCTTGTTTTATATCATGCTGTTTGTGTTTGTACCATCAGGACATTGATTTCAATGTGGAGCAGGACCAGGAGAACACACATATTGGGGGAAAGTTTCAGCTGAGTTTGTCTTGTTTTATATCATCTTGTTTGTGTTTGTACCATCAGGACATAGATTTCAATGTGGAACAGGACCAGGAGAACACACATATTGGGGGAAAGTTTGAGCTGAGTTTGAAGATGAAAAACCGGGGATCTGAACCCCGGACAGTGAGTGGGCGGATAGAAATCAGGTCAATGTACTACACAGGGGTGGTGGCTGATCTGGTCAAGTCTGACCCCTTTGATGGTGTGGAGATCAAACCAGGAGAAGGTAATCCAATCTTTGAACCACAGCTGAGTTGTCTGAGCTTCAAATTGTCTAAACACTGCTTCACCTACTGGATTCATCTTAATCTGTTTATTAACATAACTAATGAATATAATACTACAAACATCCCCTACCCCTGTTCCCCCCATCCTCGTTCCCCTGTCCCTTATGCAGGCCAGATTTTATCATCTGCTTAATCAAAAACCAAATACCATATATAGCAATTAATTAGCAATATTAGATAGTTTATGTTATTTCAAAACCAATGAATAATGCAGGTACAGAATTTTGTCCATTCCATTAGACTTTTAAATTAAAATGTATCTAATGGTCTTCTAAACAAATATTATGTCAAAGATCTTTTCACTACATCTATTGAAAGAATATTGTACTGTCTAAATGAACAGAGTTGAAGCACACTGTAATACCACACATTGAATTAATGTTGTACTGTCTAAATGAACAGAGTTGGTGCACACTGTAATTACCACACATTGAATTAATGTTGTACTGTCCCAATGAACAGAGTTGGTGCACACTGTAATTACCACACATTGAATGAATGTTGTACTTTCTAAATGAACAGAGTTGAAGCACACTGTAATAGCCACACAAGAAGACTACTCTAGAAAACTCAAGGACTGCGCCATGTTAGATGTCACAATCTGGGCAGTTGTTAAAGAAACTGACCAGCACTTCACCAAAAAAGACGACTACAGACTCCGCAAGCCACATTTAGTTATAAAAGTGAGTAGATGATAGAAGTCATGTGTTAGTGTCATCAGTGTTTTGTTTTGTGTTTATTTTAAGTGAAATCTAAACTTTTTTTAATATTATATTTTAATTATTTTGTAGTGAACAAATTTCATAATTTGTCCTTAAATATTTATTCAAACGGGCAAAGTTATACTTCTTTATATTCAACATAAGTTTACATTATAAAAATATCAGCGGTTTATTTTTTGTATTGGCCTAGTAGAAATTAGACACTAATTTGTAGATAGTCGACTAAACACCATCACTGTTTTCCCTATTACCAAATCTTTTAAGTTTATTTCAAGCACCATTGCTAAAGATGTAAAGATGTTTAAATATTTTATTGCTCATCAGGCTCCAGAGGATGCTGTGGTCAACAAAGAGCTCAAGGTTGAAGTCTCATTTGTGAACCCACTTAACAGCGCGCTGACCAAATGTTTCCTCGCTGTTGATGGTGTGGGGCAGTCACTCAAGATATCCCAGGGGTAAGATATTTTAAGACAGTCACACAAGATATCCCAGGGGTAAGATATTTTAAGACAGTCACACAAGATATCCCAGGGGTAAGATATTTTAAGACAGTCACACAAGATATCACAGAGGTAAGATATTTTAAGACAGTCACACAAGATATCCCAGGGGTAAGATATTTTAAGACAGTCACACAAGATATCCCAGGGGTAAGATATTTTAAGACAGTCACACAAGATATCCCAGGGGTAAGATATTTTAAGACAGTCACACAAGATATCCCAGGGGTAAGATATTTTAAGACAGTCACACAAGATATCCCAGGGGTAAGATATTTTAAGACAGTCACACAAGATATCCCAGGGGTAAGATATTTTAAGACAGTCACACAAGATATCCCAGAGGTAAGATATTTTAAGACAGTCACACAAGATATCCCAGGGGTAAGATATTTTAAGACAGTCACACAAGATATATCAGGGGTAAGATATTTTAAGACAATCACACAAGATATATCAGGGGTAAGATATTTAAAGACAGTCACACAAGATATCCCAGGGGTAAGATATTTTAAGACAGTCACACAAGATATCCCAGGGGTAAGATATTTTAAGACAGTCACACAAGATATATCAGGGGTAAGATATTTTAAGACAGTCACACAAGATATATCAGGGGTAAGATATTTTAAGACAGTCACACAAGATATCCCAGGGGTAAGATATTTTAAGACAGTCACACAAGATATCCCAGGGGTAAGATATTTTAAGACAGTCACACAAGATATCCCAGGGGTAAGATATTTTAAGACAGTCACACAAGATATCCCAGGGGTAAGATATTTTAAGACAGTCACTCAAGATATCCCAGAGGTAAGATATTTTAAGACAGTCACACAAGATATCCCAGGGGTAAGATATTTTAAGACAGTCACACAAGATATATCAGGGGTAAGATATTTTAAGACAGTCACACAAGATATATCAGGGGTAAGATATTTTAAGACAGTCACACAAGATATCCCAGGGGTAAGATATTTTAAGACAGTCACTCAAGATATCCCAGAGGTAAGATATTTTAAGACAGTCACACAAGATATCCCAGGGGTAAGATATTTTAAGACAGTCACACAAGATATATCAGGGGTAAGATATTTTAAGACAGTCACACAAGATATCCCAGAGGTAAGATATTTTAAGACAGTCACACAAGATATATCAGGGGTAAGATATTTTAAGACAGTCACACAAGATATCCCAGGGGTAAGATATTTTAAGACAGTCACACAAGATATCCCAGGGGTAAGATATTTTAAGACAGTCACACAAGATATATCAGGGGTAAGATATTTTAAGACAATCACACAAGATATCCCAGGGGTAAGATATTTTAAGACAGTCACACAAGATATCCCAGAGGTAAGATGTTTTAAGACAGTCACACAAGATATCCCAGGGGTAAGATATTTTAAGACAGTCACACAAGATATATCAGGGGTAAGATATTTAAAGACAGTCACACAAGATATCCCAGGGGTAAGATATTTTAAGACAGTCACACAAGATATCCCAGGGGTAAGATATTTTAAGACAGTCACACAAGATAACCCAGGGGTAAGATATTTTAAGACAGTCGCTGACCAAATGTTTCCTCGCTGTTGATGGTGTGGTGCAGTCACTCAAGATATCCCAGAGGTAAGATATTTTAAGACAGCCACACAAGATATATCAGAGGTAAGATATTTTAAGACAGTCACACAAGATATCCCAGAGGTAAGATATTTTAAGACAGTCACACAAGATATATCAGGGGTAAGATATTTTAAGACAGTTACACAAGATATCCCATAGATAAGATATTTTAAGACAGTCACACAAGATATCCCAGGGGTAAGACATTTTAAGACAGTCACACAAGATATCCCAAAGGTAAGATATTTTAAAACAATCACACAAGATATCCCAGAGGTAAGATATTTTAAGACAGTCACACAAGATATCCCAGGGGTAAGATATTTTAAGACAGTCACACAAGATATCCCAGGGTTAAGACATTTTAAGACAGTCACACAAGATATCCCAGGGGTAAGATATTTTAAGACAGTCACACAAGATATATCAGGGGTAAGATATTTTAAGACAGTCACACAAGATATCCCAAAGGTAAGATATTTTAAGACAGTCACACAAGATATCCCAGGGGTAAGATATTTTAAGACAGTCACACAAGATATCCCAAAGGTAAGATATTTTAAGACAGTCACACAAGATATCCCAGGGGTAAGATATTTTAAGATAGTCACACAAGATATCCCAGGGTTAAGACATTTTAAGACAGTCACACAAGATATCCCAGGGGTAAGATATTTTAAGACAGTCACACAAGATATCCCAAAGGTAAGATATTTTAAGACAGTCACACAAGATATCCCAGGGGTAAGATATTTTAAGACAGTCACACAAGATATATCAGGGGTAAGATATTTTAAGACAGTCACACAAGATATATCAGGGGTAAGATATTTTAAGACAGTCACACAATATATCCCAGGGGTAAGATATTTTAAGACAATCACACAAGATATCCCAGGGGTAAGATTTTTTAAGACAGTCACACAAGATATCCCAGAGGTAAGATATTTTAAGACAGTCACACAAGATATCCCAGAGGTAAGATATTTTAAGACAGTCACACAAGATATCCCAGAGGTAAGATATTTTAAGACAGTCACACAAGATATCCCAGGGGTAAGATATTTTAAGACAGTCACACAAGATATATCAGGGGTAAGATATTTTAAGACAGTCACACAAGATATATCAGGGGTAAGATATTTTAAGACAGTCACACAAGATATCCCAGGGGTAAGATATTTTAAAACAGTCACACAAGATATCCCAGGGGTAAGATATTTTAAGACAGTCACACAAGATATCCCAGAGGTAAGATATTTTAAGACAGTCACACAAGATATCCCAGAGGTAAGATATTTTAAGACAGTCAATTTTTTTCCCATTTTAAATTCATATTTATTTAAGTATTTTTCTACTTTTGAATTTAATATTTTATTCAAATTTTTAATTTTATATTTTGATTCAAAATTTCAATTAGATAAAGATCTATACTGAACTGATATTTTCATTCAATATTTTTTTTCTTATCTTATAATTTAATATAATCATTTACACAGTACACAAAAGTAAAAATATTTTTTAAAAATTTTCATTATCTCAACATTATGTATTCAAGAATAAAACATTAAAAATATTTTAAGCTATTCAAAAAATATTTGAGCATGGTTTTAATTGATTCTTATAAAATCTTGAAACTATTTTACAGCAATGTGTCAGCCAACAGCACATATACAGGAAGTATTTCCATCACACCAACCAAAGTGGGTAAAGCTGATCTTATCATCATCTTCAACTCTCTTGAGCTGGACGACATCAATGGTACACATCACATGACCCTCAAGAAAGCTTAAAATAGATCGGCCTTTTCTTTTATTGACACCTTTGACTGTGAGTTTTAGCAGACCAACTTTAAAAAGTCTGAGCTGGCTTAAGCCTTGTATTTTCAACCCAACTATTATTGGGCAGTGAATATGTACAAATTAAACAGAAAATAAACAAAAATGTTTAAATACAATGTTAATGTGAGATAAAATGTATTATTGTGTGTTGTTTTTATGCACTGATAAAAATGTTATAGCATAAAAAAATAATTTCAAAACTGACAAGACTTATTAGGTTTTGTGAAATTCTTAAAGCCAACCATTTTTCACAACAAACCCTCCTTCCATTTCTTGACTCCCTACCTCTGCCCAATTTTGGAGCCTGCACTTTACATACTAAGTCAAATTTTGGAGCCTGCACTTTACATACTAAGTCAAATTTTAGAGCCTGCACTTTACATACTAAGTCAAAATGATTGATTGTGTAGTTGTAATGAGAGGAAACGAAATAAAATGATAGATTAAATAAGTTCAATAAAAGAACGAACCATAACAAATTAAGCTTCTGTATACTGCAGTAAATGCTCTTCTACCAGCAAGTAGCTACCATTGAATGCGTATCAGTGGCGTAGCGAGGACGGGTGTCACCCGGTGCGGCACTTAATGGTGTCACCCCCCCCCCCCAGAGGCGTTGCGCCCCTTCCCGGGGACAAACTTTAAAGTTTTCGATTTGCACCCCCCCCCTTCAAACTTTCGATTTGCATTTGCACCCCCCCACTCAAGTTTTTGATTTGCACCCCCCCTCCTCAAACTTTCGATTTGCACCCCCCCCCCCTCAAGTTTTTCTCTATATATTTTGCTGTTTTTTGCCTTGGTGTCACCCCCCCCCTAAATGGTGTCACCCGGTGCGGTCCGCACCCCACCGCCCCCTCTCGCTACGCCCCTGATGCATATGTTCAAATCAATAATGTTTGGCAAAATCATCTAAATAACAGTTACTGAAGTGAACATTCACACGTCTACTAATCTAGTATGTTATTTAACAAATAGTATTTTATTTAAAATCGGATCCAATTCTAATAATAAACTTTTAAAAAGTTTGAAAAAGACACATAAATTATAAAAGTTTCAATATTTTTGTCTTTTTTGTTGAAATAAGCAGTTATTCTCATTTTTATTTTTAATTACTGCTGTATTCATTTATAGTTAAAAAATCTATTGTGAACTTTATTATAAGTTGTATCCCTTAGTTTAAATTATTATTTTCATAAATGGGAAGTAACTAACACAACTTAACAATAGAATCCTTGAGTTATTTTGAGCACTATAGATTATTCCGTGTATACAATTCTATTTTTCAACAGTGCAATTTGTATTAACATTATCATCAATATAGTATATAAAATGTTGGGTATCTTAAAAATATTTCAATGACATAATATAGACCTATGTTTACTAAAATATCTACATGTTAGAATCTTATATTTCTGTTTAAGTTTTATAACCTCCCCTAACTCTACCCCAAGAACCCCAGTGAGAAATGACAATTGGTATTGTACTTTTAACAGTGATTAAAGTATTTCAGTTAGTTACATGTTTTTGTTAGCTGTAAATGTATTTAGCTATAGACATTTTGTTATATATATTGAAAGCTTTGTCTCTGACCTAAAGTGATGAAAGTAGTTTTGCTACACAACATCTACTGTAATATTTCTTATAGCTTTTAATCTGATATGTACTGTAACAATTTTAGTCTGAAAACTTTTACTAAGTTACATGGAGTTGTTTTCTAAATGACGTGCCAAAACCAAAAACATGCGCAAATACAAACATAATATTGTACTTAAACATTTGTAATTTCGTCATACTTTACATCAGACCAGAGGCGTAGCGACCCTGCCCGGCGCCCGGGGACAAACTTTTCGATTTGCACCCCCCTCGAGATTTCGATTTGCACCCCCCCCCCCCCTCAAACTTTTGATTTGCACCCCCTTAACCTCTTAATTTATTTTTCCAACCCATTTTGGCGCCCCTTAGGGTCGGCGCCCTGGGGCATATGTCCCCCCCCCCGCCCCCCCCCCCCCCCCTCGCTACGCTACTGCATCAGACACAGCACCATCAGACACAATCAGACACAGCAATATCCGACACCATCAAACAAATCACCATCCCACACCACCAAACTCAGCACCATTTGACAATACCTTTAGACACTGTCATACAAGTATTCAGTAGATACAAAATCATTCAAAATATCGTTTTGGAACATTTTAAAATCTATACATGCTCTATGTTTCACATGGTTAATTTCAATCTAAGTCCAGGTCAAACCAACTTTCCCTAGTGCCAACTATACTATTTATTGTTTATTTGAATCTACCCATTGAACTGACGATTTATTTATAACACACATCTCATGTTATTCTGTAACAAATATTATGATGTTTTACTATTTATAACAATAATCCCATGTTATAATCAAAAAGATGCTTGAGTTTGATTGTTATGATGCATTGAGATAATAGATTTCGCCCACTTTTGTTTTATTAATAAACTAATAAATATATGTTTACCATTGGCTTCCTAAAATAATATATAGGATTAAATGTAAGCACATTAAGACTAATAGAATGTGTGATCAGTCGGTGGAACATATAGTTACTTTCATAGGCGTAGCGAGGGCAGGGGGTGCAGACCGCACTAGTTGACACCCGCCCTAGCGACGCCTATACATGAGATGACACTGTTACAACAGCTGATCCTGGAAGCTGGTTTTTTTTCTTTCCATACATTTTTTATCCGGTTGTGTGTGTGTGTGGGGGGGGGGGGGGTGAGGAGAAGGGAACTAACCGATGACAACACTGATTAGAAAACCACTAAATAACCATCTGAGAATAGGCACAACATTGTACCTGATCTTAACTGCCGGAGTCAGCCCCAGAAATTCAAACAGTAAATAAAGAGAGCAGGGCTAACATTACCTGGGAGCCAGACGTTTTCCCAAAAGACACTTGCCCGAATGCCATTTGCCCGAATCGACACTTGCCCGAATGCGACAAATGCCCGAATGAACACTTGCCTGAATGCGACAAATGCCCGAATGGACACTTGTCCGAATGCGACAAATGCCCGAATACCACTTGTGTGAAGGCCGTTTGCCTGAAAAATGTAAATATTAAGTAACAAAAAAAATTACTGTATATTATATTATATTATATTATATAGACATTCTTAATCAATACAAGTTTGAAATTTTGATAATAAACGCAATTCTAAACATTACAAACATCTTTTTTTTAAATTTAAAAACAAAAAACAAAAAAAAACATGACAAATTACTGTAAAAAACACAACTCTATTCTTTAATAAATGTAAGGTGATGTTGGCGTCGGGCGATGTCTTAATATCCTTTTGACGTAATTTTTAACACCTTGTGTAGCCGACGTGTTGCGGTGGCTTTATAGCGTTTATGACACGGTCTAGGCGTCGCAGAGTCTCGCAACATTGGACAGAGGCGCGTTTGTTTGATTTATTTTGTTTTGTTTAACATGTGTGGTGATCATTTCACAACAGAACTAGGCGCGGTCTAGGCGGTGAATTTAAAAAATAAAGATAGTCAATTATGTTTTATCTCCATTTAATGCACCTTGTTTAGACAATGTGTTAAAGCGATAACTTAATAAAGAAACTGAGATTCATTCATTCATTCATTCAAATCGGAAATGAAAGAAAATGGCTTTTGGTCTTGTTTTTAGAAAAGAAAATATATTTGTACATTTTTTATATAGCAAATCCAAATGAAGTAAGAATGTCTGCGTGTTAATAAATTTACCTTGTTACCTTGCTGATTGTCTTTAGTCTCTGGTAGACTGTTGTGTTGTTCGTTGTTGTTGTTACTTTAACGGGACATTCGGTGAGTGTTTGTGTTTGAGTGTGTGTGGGGTGGGGGCTAAATTTCTGCCTTATCTGGAAGTGATCAGCAAAAAATGTCTAGACAACAATTTCAAGTCAAATATTCCAAGTAAACAATGTCAAGTAAACACTTCACCAATTTATTTTCTCCATGACAATAACATTTGATAATATGTCTACATCAAGGGTATAGAAAACAAACGCAGTATGTCCAAAAAAAATTAATCTCGAGAAAAATGAGTTTATAAATCTCATTCCAATATTAAAACAGTGCAAAATATTATGTTTAAACATTCATAAAATATTTGCATTCTACTTTTCTGACATTGTACATAAGTGTTCTTGTAGCTTGTATTATTTACAGTATCAGTATAAATGTACATCGATTTAACTTAAAAAGTGGACATACTGCATTGTCCTCTATACCCTCGACATAATCGACTATTTAAACATTCTATGAAACTACACAAGTAAAATCTATTTTGCAATTTAGTGAATCAAAGCGTGATGTAAAACATCAATACCACGTGATTTTATGCCTTGGTCAAGTCTCGCGCACTGGCGCACAAACTCACGCACACACGCACGCACAAACTCACGCACACACGCACGCACACACTCACAAGCATGACGCACGCACGACACAAACACACACCATCTCTCCCTCTCTCTCACTAAATCGATGCTTATTTTAAGATACATTTTAATATCTAAGACAAAAATATCCTGAAGTAAACGATAGCTAACATGAAAAAAGTCGGATTAAAGACCGTACTGTCAATGGTATAAAGGTATATTGTACCGTATCAATAGTATCAACCTGTAAAATATGTAAATTCAACTGGTAGGAGGGTCTGTGCCGCTTCTCTACCGGGAATATAGACTAGTATAGTATAACTAGGAGTACTATCATTAAGGTCTGATGACTAAGTGTCAATTCAATGCACAGAGTTTACAGCCTTAGTAGAATAATAATTGGTTTTACCAGGTCCGATGACCTCTTGTCTCAGGCAAGGGTTTACGGCCGGGGAATAAATAGAATATCAGGTCCGATGACTACGGGTCAACTCAATGTCCGCAGTTTACGGCCGGTGAATAAAATAAAATATCAGGTCCGATGACTACGGGTCAACTCAATGCCCGCAGTTTACGGCCTGTAGTAAAATAAAATGATGCTGGGTATAATATTATCGTATCTACTGCTCCGTGGCTGATACACGTACAGGATGGAAGTAGTAGTATAGTAGGTAACTGAAATGTCTGCTCAACTGCCACGTGGAATTACGTCACAGGCAGGAATAGTTTAGGTCAAATAAGTATTCAAATGCCCTGTGGGATAAGACACGGACATTGTAAAGTTTCGTTAAGTAAATCAGGTAAGTTATCAACTGTCACATGGACTAAGCCACGAACATGGTAACAGTGTAAAGTATTTAAGTAACAATACATACAGAGTTTCTTCCAGGCATCTCTTCGGCATCTACCCCCCCTCCCCCCCCCCCCCCCCCCCCCCCCCGAAAATTTCAAGTGCCCCCCGGGGAAAAAAAGTCTGGAAGAAACACTGAATACATAACAGCGATATAATATATAGATCAATGGTATTTATTTAAACTATTTGTTACAATGTTAATCAAACATGCATATCAGTGCTGGTAAAGTGAAAATAAGACACAAAGTAAAACCAAACCCAAAACACGTGGAGGTCGGGCCGACGGCCCC